AGATGCCTACCACGCAGACCTCCTCCTCTTCCACCGGGGGAGCAACCCCGGGGGAGGCGCCGCCCGCAGTAGCAGCAGCAGCCGGGGCGGCCGACGGAGCCGGAGCAGCGGCGGCGGCAGGAGCAGCCGCGGGTGCCCCGGCCAGCAGCAGCTCATGCAAGCTCACCGGGCCCTGCACGGGCGCGCCGCCCACCATCCTCCGGCCTTGCACGCCGCTGCCGTCGGACCGGCGACTACCCCCGCTCCGTCCCGCGATCGGCAGCTCCTCCAGCCCCGGTTCCGCACCCGGGAGAGGCGTCAGAGCGCATGCGCGGGGAGAGAGAGAGAGCGAGAGAGAGAGAGATAGAACGTCCGGCGATGCAGCGTCAGCCAATCCGAGCTCGCCTTCGGGGAGAATTGGATACTTCGCGTTCCACGACGGTAGATGGAAGACAAGGTTAGAGGGGTAAAGGCCAGATTGCAGGACAGACTTCCGGGTTCCCCCGCGAGGGTTAGTTGGCATTGAGAATCAGAATCGGCTGGAAGGGACCTCGGAGGTCATCTAGTCCAGCTCCTTGCTCAAGCAGGAGTCCCTATATCGGGGCTCTTCAACCTTGGCGCTTTTATGACTCGTGGACTTCAACTCCCAGAATTCCCCAGCCAACATCCATCCATTTATATCATTGTCTAATCCAGGGGTAGTCAACCTTGGCTCTTTTATGACTCGTGGACTTCAACTCCCAGAATTCCCTAGCCAGCATCTATCCATTTATATCATTATCTAATCCAGGAGTAGTCAACCTTGGCTCTTTTATGACTCGTGGACTTCAATTCCCAGAATTCCCTAGCCAGCATCCATCCATTTATATCATTATCTAATCCAGGGGTAGTCAACCTTGGCTCTTTTATGACTCGTGGACTTCAACTCCCAGAATTCCTGAGCCAGCTTAGCTGGCTCAGGAATTCTGGGAGTTGAAGTCCACGAGTCATAAAAGAGCCAAGGTTGACTACCCCTGATCTAATCCATCCATATCTATCATCCATCCATCTATCTCCTTCATTGGTATCTCTCTCTCTCTCTCTCTCTCTCTCTCTCTCTCTTCAACTTCTGGGAGTTGAAGTCCACAGGTCTTAAAGTGGCCAAGGTTGGGGACCCCTGGCTTAGACGGAGGGGGAGTTTGCCAAGGAGCGTGCATGTTGGAGAAATGTTTATAATTTGGCTTAAAAACCTCGGTTCCATAGCAGTCACGCTACAATCCCATCTTTCTTTACTCGTTCCTGTTCCATTCGTATCCAACGCAAAGCGGAAGTCTTCTCTGCAGATATCTATGAAACATTTATCAATCAGGGAAATTCTTCCACCGGGCATGCGCATTTGAACCCACGAAGCTGGTTCAACTGTGCATATGCCCTTCTCGCTGCTGGGCAATCGCTCGGCTCATCTGCTTTTGAACGACTTAGGTCAGGAGTAGGCAACCTTGGCTCTTTTATGACTCGTGGACTTCAACTCCCAGAATTCCTGAGCCAGCCATGCTGAGGAGAAATGGAAAGGTTTCCATGCTGAGCCATGCTGGTTCAGGAATTCTGGGAGTTGAAGTCCACGAGTCATAAAAGAGCCAAGGTTGCCTACCCCTGACTTAGGTTCAAAGCATCAAAAAGGCATAAAATAAAAGGCTTCAATGCTGCTGGAAATAAGAAATCAAGTAAACGTGCACGAGGTTACACCAGGATTGGGAAGGGTTTTAATTTGTTATGTCCCATCAAGTTGCTAAAAGACTTAGTGACCAACTTTGTCAACTTGTGGACTTTAACTCTCAGAATGGCAACATGGCTGGCCAGGGAATTCTGGGAGTTGAAATCTACAGGTCTTCAAGCTGTCAAGGTTGGACAGCCCGGACCTAGATAGATGCTCTCCCAGGAGATCTGTCCTCAACCTGGTCCTTCAGATCTTCCAATAGTTCCCCTATATTGTCTCTATAGAGGACTATCTATCTATCTATCTATCTATCTATCTATCTATCTATCTATCTATCTATCTATCTATCTATCTATCTATCTATCTACCTACCTACCTACCTACCTACCTACCTACCTACCTACCTACCTACCTCTATCATCCATCCATCCATCTCTATCATCCATCCATCCATTTATATCATTATCTAATCCATCCATCCATATCTATCATCCATCAATTTCCTTCATTGGAATCTATGTATCCATCCATCTATCTATCTCTATCATTCATCCATCTATATTTATCATCTATCCATTCATTTATATCATCTAATCCATCCATCCATATCTATCATCCATCTATCTATCCACTTCATTGGTATCTATCTATCTATCTATCTATCTATCTATCTATCTATCTATCTATCTATCTATCTATCTATCTATCTATCTATCTATCTATCTATCTCCACCATCCATCCATATTTATCATCTATCCATCCATTTATATCATCTAATCCATCCATCCATATCTATCATCCATCCATCTATCTCCTTCATTGGTATCTATCTATCTATCTATCCATCCATCCATCCATCCATCCATCTCTATCATCCATCCATCTATATTTATCTATCCATTTATATCATTATCTAATCCATCCATCCATCTCTATCATCCATCCATCTATTCTATATTTATCATCTATCCATCCATTTATATCATTATCTAATCCATCCATATTGTGGAAAACGAAAATATGCAAGGTTTAGGCCCAGGTAAACTGAATCAGGCCTCATGGACAAAGTATTAAACCAAAGTTTGTGCTATGCTTAATTTTGCAGTTTGCAATTGTACTTTTCTTAATATGATTTCGCTAAGCTTGCTTGTTTCAAATATATTTAGAACCTAAGCACTGGAACAGTAAGAAATAGGGAACTGAAAGTAGCTGATGGATGCGGGTTCCAATGTACACAGGTATATGTGGAAAGATATCCTCAGCAGAAGGTCAGCAGGAGGTCAGTAAAAAGTCAGCAAAAGTCAGCAGAAGTCAGCAAAAGTCAGCGGACTATCTGACTACAGTCTTAGAACGAGAAAGGATATAAAGAGTTGGGACTGGACCTGATTGATTTCCCAATAGCCTATAGCTGTCCTTTTGGATTCTGCTATGCCATATGGTCCTCACTGCAGTTATTAATGTAAGTGATGTTGTGTTGTTATGCTTGCTATGTTCTAAATTATTAGCAAAATAAACCTCTGAATCTTAAAGTAAGAATGATTGTTTTGTGCTGCTGTCTCTTGTCTTTTTCATTGGTTTTTTCCACAATATCTATCATCCATCCATTTATCTCCTTCATTGGTATCTATCTATCTATCTATCTATCTATCTATCTATCTATCTATCTATCTATCTATCTATCTATCTACCTACCTACCTACCTACCTACCTACCTACCTACCTACCCACCCATATCATTATCTAATCCAGGGGTAGTCAACCTTTTTATACCTACCGCCCACTTTTGTATCTCTGTTAGTAGTAAAATTTTCTAACCGCCCACCGGTTCCACAGTAATGGTGATTTATAAAGTAGGGAAGTAACTTTACTTTATAAAATTTATAAAGCAGAGTTACAGCAAGTTAAAGCATATAATAATAATTACTTACCAAATACTTTATGTCG